CTGTCTGGGCTCGTGGGGAGGTTCTGGAGCTGGGGTTGCCCCCAGTCGGTTGCCTTGTGTCCAGCTGGCTGCCCTGGGAGTGCTCCTGGGGCTTCCGCAGCACTGGCGTTCCTTGAAAGGTTTGTTCTGCTCATCCCCTTGCCCTGGTGAGCCCAGGGAACCCCAAAAAGTCAGCTGGAGGCATGGACAAGCTCTTTAGGGCGGGTTTGGCCTTGCTTTTGACCCCAGGTTGGGAGGACCTTCCCTTCCTGCCGTGGGGGTCAGTGCCAGACACAGAGTCCCGCAGCCAGGGCCAGGACTGGGTGTCACCGTGGTCCTTGTCACCCAGTCACCGTGCTGGTGGTGGGCTTGGTGCTGACAGACCCCTGTGAGCCCCCCGAGCTGCCTCCAGCCCTCGACAGAGGGGATGTGGCAGGGTTGGACTGAGCCAAAGGACAGGAATTGCCCCATTTCCCCCCGGAGCTGCCCAGGGCCGGGCTCTGCCTCCCTCCTGCCTTCCTCTCTCCCTCCCCATCCCCTTCCCGGCGCTGCAGCGGGGTTACCTGAGGACACCACGCCTTGTTCACGGCACTGCGGGCACACGGAGCCTGTCCCTGCCCTGCCCCGGTGGCCCTGGCACTGCCACCAGCAGGGTGGCAGGGCAGCTGCTGGCACATTCCCTAGGGAAGGGTGCCGAGCCTCTCCCTGCCACCCCAGCCCTGCAAAACCCCAAACCAGCAGCACTGGAATGAGAGAACAGAAAAAAATAAAACACAACTGCTTTTTTTTCCCAGGAGTCAGAAATCTTCCAGGCAGGGATTTGGCAGGGATGGGCTGGCTGCTCCTGCTTCCCCCGTGGCGGGGATGGGGTTAAAGAAAACCCCCTGAGGCAGCCCCGGGGGAGGAGAGGACGAGGAGAAGCCAAGGTCAGGGGTCCCCAAGCCAAGGTCAGGGGTCCCCAAGCCAAGGTCAGGGGTCCCCAAGCCAAGGTCAGGGGTCCCCAAGCCAAGGTCAGGGGTCCCCGTGTGCTTCCTGCCCAGCCCCGGAGCCAGGGGAGGAAGGGAGGCCGAGAGGGGCGAGCGGGGCCGGCCAGCGCAGCCCTTCCTCTGTGGGCACTGCCCAGCCCTGGGCACCTGCCAGCCCAGCGGGGCCCTCCCAGCCCATCCCGGAGCCAGCCGGGCTGGGAAGGACCTTGGAGCTCATGGAGTCCAACCTGGGAGCCAGCAGCTCCTCGTCAGCTACAGCCTGGCGCTGGTGCCACGTCCAGGCTTTTCCAAACCCAGCCAGGGACGCGGCTCCAGCCCCTCCCCGGGCAGAAATTCCAGTGCCCAGCCGCTCTCTTGGGATGCCCCCGTGGCACAGGGAGGGATGCAGGAGTTCCCCAGGGATGCAGGGATTCCCCAGGGATGCAGGAGTTCCCCAGGGATGCAAGGATTCCCCAGGGATGCAGGGATTCCCAGGAATTCAGGGATTCCTCGGGATGCAGGAGTTCCCCAGGGATGCAGGGATTCCCCAGGGATGCAGGAGTCTCCCAGGAATGCAGGGATTCCCAGGAATTCAGGGATTCCCCGGGATGCAGGGCTCCCTGCTGTCCAGCTGGCCTGGCTGTCACCCCGAGGGGAGCCCAGCTCAGGGTGTGGCTGGGTGCCAGCAGAACCTCAGCGGTCGCAGCTTCCCCGTGCTGGGGACAAGCAGAGGTGACAGATTTCCAAAACGAGATGATCCCCACGAAGCTGCCTGAGGAGCAGGGGGTTCGTATCAGCCCCATCCTCCGGGGCAGGGCTTTCCTTTGGCTGTGAGGGCAGTGCCAGGGCTGGCAGCCAGCCGGGGTGGCCCAGCAGCACCCATGGGTGTCCCTGCCGTGCCCACATCCCCTCCCGTCCCCCGCAGACTGCGCCGGCTGCAAGGAGGAGATCAAGCAGGGCCAGTCGCTGCTGGCGCTGGAGAAGCAGTGGCACGTCAGCTGCTTCAAGTGCCAGACGTGCGGGGTCATCCTCACGGGCGAGTACATCAGCAAGTGAGTGCCAAGCGCGGGGCTGGGGCGTGCGGGGGGCTCGGCGGGCGCTCACCCGCTCCGTGCCCTCCCAAGGGATGGCATCCCCTACTGCGAGTCCGACTACCACGCTCAGTTCGGCATCAAGTGCGAGACCTGCGCCCGCTACATCAGCGGCCGTGTGCTGGAGGTGAGTGCCGGGCTCCGTGCCAGGGCCGTGCCAGGGCGGGGGTGCCACGGTGCCAGCCTCCGTCCTGCAGCGGCTCCGTCACGGCCTGAGCACCTCCAGGGGCTGGGAGAGGGGGAAGCTGCAGCAGCCCTTGGGGCTGGGGACACCACCGAGGCACG